TTCCCCTCTCCTCTCTCTCCCCTCTCTCCTCCCTCTACACACCCTCCCCCTCTTTCCTCGTCCTCTTCCCTTGTTCTTCATTCTTTTCTTTCCCCGTTTGTCTTGCCCTCCCTCCCCTTCCCCCATTCTCCCTCTCCCTCCCCTCCCTCCCTCCCCCTCCCTTCCCTCCCCTCCCCCTCCCCCCCCCCTCCCCTACCACACCCACAATCAAATCACCACACTATCAAATAACATAAAAAAAAAAAAAATAAATATAACTAGACCACAAACTCATACTACACTATCATGATCATACTTTCATCCACCTATTTCTTTCCCCTTTACTTCTATCTACCATCTATACCTCCTCCACCTATGTTCTCATACCCATTATCCTCACAATTCACTCTTAAAATACTATTATCTACCTCCATACACTTCAATACTCTCTACTTTAATCTTTCCCTAGCAATTTCTCCTCCTCCCTCTCATCCATGATAATAACTACATTTAGACCAGAAAAATAAAAAAAAAAAAAAAAATATACAAAATAAAATAAAAAAAACTGAATAAACTAAACAAAAACTTAAATACAAAAAAAAAAAAAAAAAAACAAAAAAACAAAAAATAAAAAAAAAACTGAAACAATGTCGTTAAATGAAACTCAAATGAAATTAGAATGACAATAATGGGAGTGTGGAATACCAGGTGTGGCAATGGAGTTGAGTAATTTGTGTTTGTACCTTCACCGATGTTATACAAGTGCTCACCCTCGTGCCGTCGCCAGACAAGCCTCCCTGCAGTCGCTAACCACAGATCCGTATCCTTGTCATAGGTATTACGTGCTTGCCTTTTTAATATTTTTTTTTGTATTTTTTCATTTTTCTCTCCTTTCTTTTTTGACATTCTTTCATTCTGATTTTTCTATTTGCTTTTCTCTCTACTTCTGTTGCTCTTTTTCTTCCCCCTACTTTCTTATTTTCCTTTTTCTCAACTCTTTCTTTTTTCTATTTTCTTATTCAGTCTCTTCTCCTTACCTCTTTCTATTTTTTTTCTCTCTCTCTCTCTCTCTCCACTCTCAGTCTCTCTCTTTCTCTCTCCCTCCTGCCCTCCCTTACCTGTCCTCCTCTCTCTCCCTGTGCCTTCCTCCTCCCTACCCCTACCCCCCATCTTCTCTCCCCTCCCCCTCTTTTCCCCTCCCCCCTCCCTCCCTCCCATTTATCTATCCATCCCTATCATCCCTCTCCTCTCTCTCTCTCTCTCTCTCTCTCTCTCTCTCTCTTCTCTTCTCTCTCTCTCTCTCTCTCTCTCTTCTCTCTTCTCTCTCTCTCTCTCTCTCTCTCTCTCTCTATCTCTCTCTCTATCTCTCTCTCTCTCTCTCTCTCTCTACTCTATCTCTATCTCTATCTCGTAGCTCTCTTCTCTCTCTCTCTCTCTCTCTCTCTGCTCTCTCTCTCTCTCTCTCTCTCTCTCTCTCTCTCTCTCTCTCTCTCTCTCTCTCTCTCTCTCTCTCTCTCTCTCCCCCTTCCCTCTCCCCCCTCCCTCCCTCTATCTATCCATCCCTATCTCCCTCCCTCCTCCCTCCCTCCCACTCTCTTTCTCCCTCTCTTTCCCTCTCTCCCCCTCCCTCCCTCTATCTATCCATCCCTATCTCTCTCTCTCTCTCTCTCTCTCTCTCTCTCTCTCTCTCTCTCTCTCTCTCTCTCTCTCTCTCTCTCTCTCTCTCTCTCTCTCTCTCTCTCTCTCTCTCTCTCTCTCTCTTTCTCTCTTTCACTCTTTTTTTACACCCTCTCCTACTTTCTTTCATCCTCCTCTCCCCCATCTCTCTCTTTCTCTTCCCTCTCTTTGTTCTCTTTCTCTTTTCTCTTTTGCTCTCCCCTCCCTCCATCTTTCATTTATCCATCTCTCTTTCTCTCTTTCTTCTTTCTTCTCCTTCTCTTCTTCTCTCCTTTCACTCTTTTTTACACCCTCTCCTACTTTCTTTCATCCTCCTCTCCACCATCTCTCTCTTTCTCTTCCTCTCTTTGTCTCTTTCTCTTTTTCTCTTTTTCTCTTTTTCTCTTTTGCTCTCTCCCTCTCTCCATCTTTCAATTTATCCATCTCTCTTTCTCTTTCTTTTTTTCTTTCTCTTTTTCTCTTTTTTTCTTTTCTCTCTCTCTCTCTCTCTCTCTCTCTCTCTCTCTCTCTCTCTCTCTCTCTCTCTCTCTCTCTCTCTCTCTCTCTCTCTCTCTCTCTCTCTCTCTCTCTCTCTCTCTTCCTCTTTTTTTGCACTCTCTTGTACTTTCTCTCATCCCTCTTTCTCCCTTCCTCTCTTAGCCCCCCATATCTCTCTTTCTCTTCTCTTCTCTCTTTCTCTTTCTTCTCCACTTTCTCACTTCCCTCTCCCCTCTCTTTCCCTCTCTTCCTCTCTCTCTTCCCTCTCCTCCCTTCCTCTCTCCTCTCCTCTTCCTCCTCTCTTCCCTCTCCTCCTCCTCTTTCTCCCTCTCCTCCTCCTCTCACTCTCCCTCCCACCCTCACTCTTCCCTCCCCCCCCCCTCTCTCTCTCTCTCTCTCTCTCTCTCTCTCTCTCTCTCTCTCTCTCTCTCTCTCTCTCTCTCTCTCTCTCTCTCTCTCTCTCTCTCTCTCTCTCTCTCTCTCTCTTCTCTCTCTCTGTTTTCTTTCTCTCGTTTTCTTTTTCTATCCCTCCCTCCCTCCCTCCCTCCTCTCCTCTCTTCTATCCTCTCTCTCTCTCTCTCTTCTCTCTCTCTCTCTCTCTCTCTCTCTCTCTCTCTCTCTCTCTCTCTCTCTCTCTCTCTCTCTCTCTCTCTCTCTCTCTCTCTCTCTCTCTCTCTCTCTCTCTCTCTTCTCTCTCTCTCTCTCTCTCTCTCTTTTCTCTCTTTTGCTCTTTTTTTTTCACCCTCTCCCACTTTCTCTCATCCCTATTTCTCCCTTCCTCTCTTTCTCTCTTTCCTCCAGCTCTATCTTTCTCTTCCTCTCTTTCCCCCATCTCTCTCTTTCTCTCTTTCCTCCAGCTCTATCTTTCTCTTCCTCTCTTTCCCCCCATCTCTCTCTTTTCTCTTCCTTTCTCTCTTTTCTTTCCTCTGTCTCTCTCTCTCACTCCCTCCCTCCCTCCCTCCCTCCCTCCCTCCCTCCCTCCCTCCCCTCTCCCCTCCCTCCCCCCCCTCCCTTTACCACCCCCTTTCCCTCTTTCTTTCTTTTTTTATATATATTTTTTTTTTTATCATTTCCACTTTCTTTCTACCCCTTGTCAATTTTAGTTTGTTTTTGGTTCCTTTTTTCACTTCTCTTAAAAGTCATTGATTCATTAGATTAGAGTTGATACAATTGTTAGTTTACAAGTAAGTAATACCTAGTAAGGGACTTCACATTTTCATTTTTTCACTATCTCTGGTATGCACTTCCAAGTCCTTGATTTTTTTTATTTCATGAAACTATCATGGTTCATAGTTTCCTTTCCTAATCACCTGTCAGCAATATGCCTCTTGACAGTAGCCTAGCAATATTGATGTCATTGCAACTACTGTGTTTCAATGTCTGTCAGCCATCTCGGGTCATAAGTATTCTTTGCTTTAGAAAGGGAAAGGGTTAATCGCTTGGGTTCTCTTTCGGTGGGATAACCTGTGGTCGTGGCTATGGTAAGCCACGACCTCCACCCCTTCTCTTCCCATCCTAGTATGACAAGGATACAGACAATTATATACAACAGCAAGTTAACAACATCTGCTACCCCAAATAGTTGATGTGATGCTTTTTTTATATTTTTTATTAATTAATTTTTGTACTTCTCTGATGAGGACCTCAGATGTATCTCCACAAAACTCATTATGTTAGAATAAAAAAGAGAGAGAGAGAGAGAGCTGGAAAAAGAAAAAAAGTTCCAGAGATCTATCTTTGAGTTTGCTTTCAGTTTTGTTAAAGACAGCTGGTGTGACACTGCTTACAAAAAGGGGAAAAAAGCCATTAACTAAACTTACCATGCTTTTTATTCATAGAGATTTCAAAAGGACAGTTGTCTCTACACTCTTTGTCTCTCCCCTTCGTCCTTTCTCTTGTATTGTGGCCCAACCCTTCTCTTCATTTCTGACTTTAGGGGGTTTTAGTTCATGTTCATAAGTAGTATGGGCTTTAGTTCATGTTTATAAGTAAGTGGTATTCATCAGGCATTTATATTGGATCTCTTTATCTAGTACCTTAGTTTTAATTGTTACAGAATGGTAGAGTAGAAAGTGGCATATCTTGTAGAACCATGAAATACACCTCGCAGTCATGTCTTTGCTTTGCACACGTATCACTTAGTTCACCACTTAAATTTTCCTTCTGTTTACTGCTAATATCTACCAGCGTGTTGAAATACATCTTTCTAAGCATGATATCTATTTGCATATTTGTTGCATGTTAACACTGGCTACTGACACATATTTTATTACTGTGATCTGTGTCTTATTATTTTTCACTTTTATTTACTTTGGTCATATATTTTGAAGATGTCAAAATACCCATTAGCATTCTTGTCAAGATTTTTGTTTAAAGATTCCCTAACTCTTGTGACTCAGATGGCCCAATAACAATAGCACAGGGACCTCCCGAAAGCAATTACTCGAAGAGAAGCACTCAGAGTTTGTACGGGAAGCTCTGCCAGAACTCCTAAGCCTCCTAGCCGGGGTGAGTCCACTTAGTTCTGTTTACCATTTTGAGTTGTACTTTTAAGACGTGTATGTGGCCCTCGATTGTGACTGAATTGTCGTATGTGTGATGAACTGAAAAGATTTTTTTACATCCTGGTAATTAAGGTTTGTAGGAATGAATGTATTGGTATTGCTGCAATTGTGTATTATTAATGCTTTATTTATGTATGTTTTTTGTGTATGGAATGTTTCTTAGGTGTTCTTGTAATTGTTATGAAATGGCAGTGCAAAATGTTTTGGCATTATAGTTAATACTTATCAGACTTCATAATGGACTTGTATATACCTGTATATTTTTTGTAAAACATTAATGCAACTGGATTCATATTTGTATTGGTATTGATGCACTATTGCAGATGTGTATTTTTAAGGATAAGTTCAAAATGACCTTGCATACTGATGATTATTTCCATTTCCTTCTTGTTCACAGCATTTACAAGTAGAAGACACAGAGAAGAAAAAGAAAACGGGAGATAAACGCACAGCAAGAGAACTCCTTGGTTTTATGAAGTCGGCAGGTGTCTTGTCTGTTGATGTGGTCAAGTCTCTTTCTTTCATACTAGGAGCATCTGTGCAGGGAGAAAAGTTGGTGTTGTGTGAAAAATAATGTGTTAGATTTAGTGTGCACTTGTACGGTATAGTCATCCCCCTTATAGCATTCAGATATATCCTGTGAAATTAGGTATGTGAGAACATTTTCACCGTCTCTTAGCTAAACAGGAGTGTTAAGTGTACTTCTAGGGACTAAATAATGCTAGTGATAATATTTTCAATAGAAAATTGAAAATTGTAGACATGCTAAGAGCACTCAAGATACATGGTATACTTGTTACACAACATTAATGCTAGATGCCACAGGTGTTTTGCAAATGGATGTTAAAAGGGAAATGACCGTATCTATATGTAAAAGGAGAGTTCAGTAAGAATTACTTTGGTGATATATTTTGAAGATGTCTTTTGTAATTAATGCTATTGCTACCATGTACTTTCATATGTGTTCTTTACTGATGGTGATATTCATTTAACAAAATTTAACTTCACCATTAACCATTTTGTTACAGTTTGTTGATGTATTACAGAGCACAATATTTGCGAACTAAGTATCTTTTTTCTTTTTTTGGCAGAACAGAGAGAGACCTATTATCTGTGGCCACAGATGCAAATAATTGCTATAGATCTGGTTATCTTAGCAAAAAAAATGCCTTCCAAAAGGGGTAAGTAACACTCCTGTTAGAATGTGTGCACGCATGTGTGCGTATTTATGGCTTCAAATACTATCATTGATTCATTTGTGCTGTGTAGTTTGCCTAAGATAAATATATATCTCATTATTTTTTAAATTATATATGAATAGTTGCAATCTATGTGTTTGTGTGTATTTGCATGCACAAGGTTGTGCATGTGCATACAATCATGCACACATTCATACATACGATCATAGATAATTATAAACAAATTCATTCATACAGGTAGTGGGGGTGGTAAACATTTTCTATAGATTTGATATTTTTGCACAGATTGTTTGAGCAGTGGTTACTGAGAGGGCTTGACTGGGCACCTCACGGGGAGTGGCTTTGCGTGCGTCGAGGGTGTAGACAATCATGGCCAGTCGTATCTTTAACTCAACCTTCACATCATAGGCTTGTGGCTTCTCCAGCACCAGGGTAAGAAATCTTTGACTCTTTCTTTCTTTCTTTCTTTCAATATAACCAGACTGTTAATTAAAGAATTACTTGACTTGAACATGGTTTTCATCAGTAGATTTTATTTGTTTCTTTCCATCTTTTTTTTTTTTTTTTTTTTTTTTTTTTTTTTTTTTTTTCACTTTTTCTTTTTGAATATCCTTTAGTGATTATCACCGGAGTCGTCATGAAAATAAAGAAATAGCTAGGCTTTACAGAGCTGCTGTATTTAGATTGTAATTTCAGATGTTTACAGTAGCCAGTGTTAACATGCTCTTTCCAGTTACAGACTCATGTACATATGCGAACTGGTGGATGGCATGACGGCCTACATGGGCGAAGAAGCAACGTATACGGATCTGAAAGTGCGGCGATGTTCTAAATCAAATATTTTTGTCCTCCAACCCCTTAGGTAAGAAAATAGGAGGACATTTTTAAGGGTTATGTGAATTTGTCAATTCTCTTTTTTATTTGGCAGTGATCGTCCCATTACTCATTTTATATCTTCACAAGAGCAATATTGTGATTGAAGGGAATGTGCTTCCATGGTAAGAGTTAATGGAGAGTGCATTTTGGGGAAGATACTCCTCGGTGTTTAGTTTCACCAATATTCGCCAGTTCAAATAGTAAACTAATGTTAGGCTAAGAATGAGTACTTGATTCTTAAACAGGTTTAAGATATTTCCTGTTGATAGCACCTTGTGTAATGAGTCCTTTCTCTCCACCAGACATGCAGTCATTCACAAATGCCATGACACCCGAGTTGTGCTTGGGCCCGTGGCAGGACGTATTAAGTTAAGTGAGTGTCGTAACACTGTTGTGGTGTGTGCAGCAAGGTCCCTGGTCATAGCAGATTGCCGGGGCATTGTAATACACACACTCACTCCCCAGAGGCCCTTACTGGTAGGAGGACGTACACAGGGTGTGACTGTAGCTCCCCTGAATATCCACTATCCTCGCCTCAAGCACCACATGGCCCAGACTCAACTGCGCCCTCACATCAATATGTGGAATAGACCCCTGCACCTTGGTTAGTGTGAAAGACTATATTGTGAAATGTGAATTAGTTAAATACCATTTTTTTAAATGTTTAGTCAAAAGGTATATTCAGAATATTGATTTTCTTCTGGTTACCCAATATGTTTACATCACTAAGTTTCATTACTTGTAACATTTATTTTGAGTTACTATTATTATTATAATTATTATATTATATTCTATATTCCTTTTTCCCATGCATATAACACTGTTCTCTAGTTTATTTGATGACAGACTAACAAATATTTTTCTCTCTCTTCTCCTGCCCCCTCATTTCCTTCTTCCTCTCAGGGAGTGAAGGTGGTGTTCTCAGTGGTGCGTGTGAAGTGATGAATCCCGAGGACTTCCAGCTGCTAGTCATTCCTTTCACCCAAACTGCACCTGTGGATGGCAGACCCCCCCTCCTTCCCCCAGGTCTTCCTCATGAGTTTGCTAAGGTGAGAGCTGCTTCTTATCTTGAGGAAATGTTAATGTTGATATTACTTTACTTAAAGAAAGTTGCAGTTAACTTAAACCACTCTGTGCCTGGACAAGGCGGTTGACAGTTGCTGACTTAGTACACGCTTTCATCTCCTCAACATATCTTTCCACTTCCTATATTCCAACACTGTGTCCCCCTCTCCTCCTCTTCTCAGACATGACCACCCTTAGCTTAGGGTGCTTTTAGTTGAACCTTGCCTGCAAAATAACAAAGCATTCAGAGCCTTGACCTGGCATGAAGAAAACCAGGGCTTGGTCATTTTCTTCTTCCTTTTGGTGTTTATAGTGTTATCTTGGTATTTCCTCCTGATCATATATTTTTATTATTGTATCAGAAACATTTATTATATTATTTCATATGTAAAGTGAGTCAGCAATACATAAGCTGTGTAATATTTAGGCCATTGCTTTTCATTTATATTTATAGGATTATCAACAGACTTTGGCGTATAGGGCTGAATGCAAATTACCATTGTTTTAACCTACTGTTAGAGTCTTATAAGCTTGTGTTTTTATTTTTCTCTCTCCTTCTCTCATCAGAACAGACTTCTATATCTTTATTTTTTATGATTCCCCAGAGTGTAGAAGAAGCTGGAAAATGTGTGTCTAGTTTCCGAGCAGAAGTCAGGGATGCAGACTTAACCCCGGAGCAAAGAGCTATTCTACAAAAGGCTATTGATGCAAGATTCAAGGTGGGTTTGTAAATGTTCTTGCATTTGGCTCACACTTATGTGGGGCCAACATTTTTCTTTTCTTTTTATCTTTTTTTCTTTCTTTTTTTTCCCCACTTGTAATTATGTAAGTGTTTTGTTGCATTTCTTAAATGTTCATGTGTACATGCATGATAGTGGGTGTAAACCAAGACACACAAAAGGAACAGTAATTATGCATTGAATGTGTAAATTTGTGTGTATGTGTAGATGTTTAAAGATGGAAAATTCAATATTAACATACATATCTTTATTTTCAGGCTTGGCTAAGAGATACAGGTAAACAGCGTGAACTTGATCAACTAGAAAAACTTGCTTTAACACTGAAATATGAAAGAGTAGCCAAAACAACAGCAATTTAAAGGTAATGATATGGATATGCTTTACGTAAATATATTTAAATGTTTTAATAATTATATAATGCCATACAAGCATTAATGATTCATAGAAAATCTGCAATAAGCCCCAGTGATTTTAGAATGGAATTTTATCATACAATTTGATTTTAATTTCTTGTACTCAAAATATGTAAAATATGTTACCATGTTAAGGAAAACAATAAAAAGTAAAAGTTTATCCTTATTTAATTTTTTTCCTTTCATTTACTAGGACATGAAGTAGCAACACATTTGAGTTGTTTGTTGTTTTTATCTTTTTTTCATTCTTATGCAGGTTTCATTTCTGTAATTCTACTTTTTGTATTTTAGCTTTTTCTTTTCAATAATTCTATCAATCTTAAAAACTGGATTTACAATCAGATCTAATATCTTTCTCATGAACCATATATGGATTGTTTTTTTTTTTCCTGAACAGAGGAATTATTGAAAAATAGGTTTACTTAGATGGAATCATCAGTGATGGGGGGGGGGGCATACTGCTATAGAACATATCATTGCCATTTTTATATATTTCATATATATATTATGAAACAAAATATATACGAAAGATTAGAAAAGTCTTGTTTTTTATTCATAAAGCATTTCATAGGAATGTTAGGGAAGAAATGTCCAAACTATAAAACTATGAAAAATCTATGTCAAATAGAATGAGAAAAAAAAAAGTTTGCCACTCAGAAGTACCCGGCATTGGTGGGTTAAGACAAGACTAATGTAGTGAATGTGGTTTTGTGTTCCTTAGTGTAAGAAACATTTCTTTAAAATCAGAACACATATAGAGTTCACTGTAGAGACAATTATTTATATCTAATCTGCCTGAATTTCAAGTACTTCATTTTCCACTTAAACCTTGTGCTTTTAGGATAAGTAAAAACCTATGCATAAGCCATCAAGTTGTTTATTGATAACTTTTCCTACATCGGTTGCTGTGTCACCGTGGGAATGCACAGACAAAAGCAGACATGAAGCTAACAAAAAAGTTAGGTTGTGAACGTTCAGACAGCTGAAATGATGAAATCTTTACAACCCCTGTGCAAGATATACCAGTTGACTAACATTCCTATACTGCCAGCAACTGTATTTATATAGTACTGGAAGTGCAAGAATCACAGTACAACTATCTTCCTTCTGAACTAAGAGACGGGAACTTGTGGCCCAAATCTCGTAATTCTTTTTAGTCACTAGTGGGATAATAACTGTTTTCAGGGATATTTTCCTCATATTGTGTATATATTTAACCCTGTATGGGACACTGGTTCAAGGGTAACTATAGCTTCATCCACAACAGGATGTGCATCATTTTCTTCTTGGTGGATATAATGCATATGGTCCTTAAAACTACACTGAAAAATAGTTTTGCTCATGAGAATCATGAATGAATTTAAAACAATATATTCTTTGTATAATTTTGACCTAGACACAAAACTATTACAGAAATAAATATAACACAAAATCATCTTAACCAAATTAAGTAATACAAAACTGGAAATGTACAATATAGCCATTTACAACAACATACCAAAATCCACAATGTAAGAAACTAAAAAGTGAAATGACACAAATCTCATAAATAAAAGACTAGATAGCTATCAAGATCCTCCTGGAATGGTATGTCAATGCCTTGTTCAATAAAGCACTCTATCATGACATCAAATGTAAATTTTATGTTCTGCCAGTACAGAGACACTGAATTATTAAATATTTATTAAATATAAACTTTTTTTTATTTTCTTTTTTCACATGCACACCTCTCACTCAAGATTGCAATAATGGATTCATTTAAATTACAAAAAGGAAATTCTTGGCCATTTTGTGACTATACATGTGCAGAAAATCAGAAGAGCTGCATGGACAAAAGTTCTGTCCAGGCTAAGAGATGAGTACTTTGGAACATGCTATTATGAGGCTTTGGAAACTATATGCAGACTATAGCACATTATGTAATTGTTATTCTCTGGTAACTACACTCTACCAGTTTCAGGGATTCAAATGCAGCTTAGGCATCCAAACACAATGCAATGAATGTGTCAGTGATGGTACTACAAAACAAGACACCCATTTCTAATCTACGTATTTTTTTTTTCTTTTTTGACTTTCCAGTGTTGAAATCCATAAATTTCTCCTCTTTATTTTATACATTTTCATCCTGTAAAAATCTAAAATTCCGTTACCTGTCCCAATGCATATCAGTACCCCTTGGTTTTCTGTCCTTGGTTTCCTACCCATTTTTCAAACTGGAAGACCAGGCTGCCATCTGCTAATTTGGGCTTTATTATTTCATTTTTTATTCTATTATTCTGCCTCTCCAATTTCCAATTTCAATTGCATAAAATCAATGATGCAATGTGATAGATGTTTTAATACCTGTCCTTATTTTATACACAACTGCTCTTGATGTACTATGTCATGCAAAGTAACTTTCTCAAAGTTTTAAATGCCCCACCGTTAACTGTCACTAACAATGGGTTATGGTTACTAAAGTCCTGCACACACACAACAGACATAGATAGAATTTTCATAGGAACAATCTATAAAAACACATATCTAAAGACTGCTCTGTTAGGTTGCTTACGTACAGAACATAAAGAACAATTCTCTGTCCTTATGTGGAAAAGCAAGGACAGGAGGCTCTTGTAATCTACCATGATTAGATCTTCCCCATTGCTTATGATAGGTAACATTAACGCAGAAGGAACAGCGAGCATGAAAGTAGTCTCTAGCGCAGGCCAGGCGAGGCAGAAGCAGCTGGTCGGGAAAGGTGTTCTGAGCTCACTGCTCGACCACGCACAGCTAGGGGAACCTGTAAGGACTGTTTAAAAGGGAAAAATTACAATACAAGAATACATAAGAGGATACTGCACTGGTAGTGCCATGAAATAATATAAATAAATAAATCCTTGTGTATTTTACTATTATAATGATCATTTTTATCATTACAATTTTTTATTCTATAATTTAAAAATTATATTTACACTTCTCTATGTGATATTATTAATAAGCACCTACAAGCATATCTCACCACACTAACCTGTTTCTGGGGCTCCTCTCCACTAAGAACGGACAGTGAACTTGCCCGTTTCAGTCTGAAAGAGAGAACAATCTCCAAATAGGATCAATTGTATTATGAAAGTTTTTCCATTCTCATTTCATCTGTATAAGAAAAAAAAATCCCATAGGTCGGCGGATTCCACTCAGAAGTGTTTCAGAAGCAAAGGCTTTCACTTCCAAGAGCAAAGGGAGAGTACAACAGAATGGTTTACACAGCACAAGGTACTCTCTTAAAAAGGGTAAATCATACACAGCTTGCCACAACAGGAGTCAACCATTCAGCGATCAGGAAAGCCACACAAATTTTCTCAAGATGAAAAGTTACAAATATTAACTTTTATAAATCCTCTTAAATCAAGCATAATTTAAAATGTTTTATATAATGAGAAATCATCCATTTACTTATATTTATGAATAGACAAAAACAAGAACAAAATCAAATTAAATCAATCAATAACTGAACAATCCCAACTTCCTGTTCTGAAACAAGAAGAAAGAAATTACATTAAATTTTGAACCATGCAGTTAGCCACACAATTGCAAACACAAGAAATTTTGAAATAAGAACAATAATGAAGTAATTGCCGCCTACATATTTTGAACATCCACAGATTCATCTCAAAAAATATGAGCAAAACTTACTTGGTCACAGGGAACAACACTTCCAATGAAAAATATTTACACAAACAAACATACATTGTAAAACAGAAAACTAAGCAACTGCAACAACAATAATAGCAAGAACATCAAACACAAGAAATAGAATCATCATAGATTACAGTACGTCAAAACCAATTTACATTTAATACATGTACTCAGCAAGTAAGCAGTTTATAATCAAAAGTGACTGAGGTGAAAAGAAAAATACTACTGAGAGAGGAAGGATGAAAGGTAGGAGGAGAGCAGCAAGGGAAGGGGGGGAGAGAGAGAGAGAGGAGAGGAGAGGGGGAGGGGCTAGTGTCAGTGGGAGTAGGAATGGGAAGCGGAGGGGATTGAGAGAAAGAGAAAGACAAGAAGAGGTTAGAGAGAGCATTTATTTATCATAGGCAGGTATGCTAAGATATACATGACAGCCACTCCACTGATCACAGTAACCAGAAATAGAATTTAACTGCCCCTTCAAAAATGGAAATCTACAGTTGGGAGAGAAACCAAAAAAATTCTTTTTTTCTATCCATTTTTTTCTGTATGTGAATGCAAAACCAAACTGTACAACAAATAATCAGCCCATCACAATTAATTCAAATTATATGATAAATCTTTGGACATTATATACATAAAATCATGGAAACAAATGTGAATCTTATCAATTTTTACCAATTTTCATATACCAATAAAAAATTCAATTTCTAATATCTACATCAATGTAAATAACAATCATAATCACAGCAACAACAAAATAATAATAATAAAAAAAAATGTTTTTCCTTAAACACATATGAAGTAACAAAAACAGTTGTTTTCCAAATATTAATAATTCATCAAAAAGAAACTTGTTTATGGAGAAAATACTTAGTACTACCTATAACTATTTATTTAGAATATTTGGTTTATCCTGAAAGCTTATCCTTTACATTACACCAGCAAGACTAAAGCAAACTGTGCATATGAAGCATTCTAATTAAAAATATAAAACAAATTTCACTTACCTTCATAAGTAGTAAACTAACACTGTAGGGCTATATTTCCCTCACTTAAATCTAATCTTATGTTTAGCATTGCCGCACATCATGAAAATGTGTAATTTTGATACAGCCTTGAAAGAGAACTGGAAATCATAACTGGAAACAATCTGCTTTCACTTTATGAGTGTATTTACATAAAATGACATCATCACAATCAAACTTTAATAAACTAGATCCCATGATTCCACATTTTCACCTATCACCAGCCTAAACTTTTATTATTAATTTGTTAACTACAGAGATGTTTAAAAATTCCTTCCCTATAAATCATCTTGACCCTAAAAACAATCAACTCCATCCTCATGGTTCAGCTGCATGTAGTTCAAGTTTGACATTTATTATCATTGATACTTGTACTATTATTCACTATTTCTTTAATTTCTCTCAATATTTCTTTCTCTCAAGTCTCTTTTCTATCTCTCTCAATCTCTCTTATTTCTCTTTTCTCCCTTCTTCCTCCCTTTTTCTCAAGGGTCAGATCCCTCTGTAACTGCCTGTGTGTGAGTGTGGGGTCCTACCTTGCAGCCGTGTCATCGACCTCCAATTCCGTTCGGCCGCGGAGCTTGTGCACCAACTTGGCACTGGATCTTCTTATGGATGCCCGTAACTTGGAGAAAGAGCTGGACCTCCGCAGACGCCCATACTCATACTACGTGGCAAACATTGTGTCAAAAGGTCTGACTCTCGTCCCAGAAAAGTGGTAGTGGTGGTGGTGGTCATGGAGAGCAAGTAATGACAAGAGGAGGGGGGCGGGGGTATAATGAAGCAATATTCAAAGGGACTGTTGTGCAGCCCCAATCAAAGGGACTGGGTTATCACAGAATTAAATGGGGCTCTCATAAGTTTTAAAAGATTTTCATGTCATCTTAAAACTGTTTTCTATATTCTCTTTATTTGTTTGACTGACTCTCTTTTGATGAAACTATCTGATGTCAAAACAATTCTTTTGAAATTTCCATGTTACAACTTTATGCTGCTATTTCTTCAGTGACAGATGAACTCAAATATGCCTTTTCAATTTGTCACATTGTGTCAATGAAACAGTTTGACAAACAGTATTTAGTGCAAGCTTGACTGCTTTATAATGATGAAATAGGTAAAGCAAACTTGATTTCTGAGGTACAACTGGCACCATTTACGTTATATAAAGCACTACTTTTTGCATTAGACTTTCTAAAGGAATTAGGCATATATCTGTACAAATAAGTAAATATATATATATCTGTATATATATATCTATACTTACCAAAAGAGAAAATAGCAGAAATACTGGATAAATCTCTTTGGAACCAATAATCCCACTCTGGTTTTATAAGTAACAAGGAAGAACAAGGAATTTATCATTGCCAAAGGTCTCCAGCACAATCCCCAATAAGAGTTTCACAATGACAATTACCGCCACCACCACCCTAATCCAAGACCAGAAGTACCGTTGCCGCCACTAGTCTACACATGCACAAAGATCACTGCTTGTGCTAGGAGAGAGAATCTTTTGATAACATGCAGAATATTCCTCACAGATGATGAGTACTTTTTGCCTCTGAGTATCCTCCTTTATCAATACTAAAAGAATAGTTTTTACAAATTAAAAATGTTTTATGTTCATATACTATGTTAGACACTAAAAGAAAGAAGATGTAATACTATATGTTTAGAGCTGAAGAGTTAATAAGGTGATACTCTGAGGTTTTCCTGCACGTGTGAGCAATACAGACTACATCTTTCATGTAAATGGTGTGCAAACATAACAAGACATAACATGAAAAAGTAGAAAAAGAGAAATACACTCATCAGCAAAAAAGAAAAAGAAAAAAAAGGAATATATATATACATCACAACTACATATTGGTTATTCAACTAGTGTTCAAAAGAAACAAAAATATAAAAGTGATAAAGAACAAAGTTAAACTGAAATTCTTTATAATCTTTAATAATTAACTAAACAAAATATTCCAACTTCCCACATGTAATCTATGCTACAAAATCTCTAACCTACATCACTTCACTCACATGCATCTAACAAGACAAATACATATTCTACTACCTGTTTGTAAAGATTTTGCCAGATATTTGACCATCTCAGTAGACTCCCCAACCCCTTCCTGTTCAAAATACGTTATTCTACATGCACCCTCTAACACCCTCCATCGACTAGTTAGAGAAAGACACTTTGATTACAATGTATAATATCCAGCTATTATAAAAGTTACATCCAAACCCTAAGTAATTTCAAGTGATTCCCCTTCATTTTTACTGTTAGTCTTTATGATTTCAGATGCCTTTAAAACACATTATACATCATATGATGATATATGAAGCAGGAACAATATACATAACTGTACCTATAAGTATTTTCTAAAAATAAATTATTTATTGAGGTTAATGTAAGGAATTATAATTAATCTTCATCTGACTCCACTGAATTTCCTACCCTTTTTCCTTTTTCTTCCTCTTTTTGTATGTCATACACTCCCTAATCAAACATCTGCCTCATAGAAATAGAGGCTAATCTCCTTATCGTCACATCAAAAAGGACCAAGTACAATTACTCAACATCATATGCAACCCATTTCAAAAGTTTCACTATTCATCCAACTAATTATTCTGTTTCAAAAATGTCTCCCAATCCTATCTCATAAATTCTACTTATACCTAATACTAATCTGATTGATATCTTCATATCTCAAAGGAATACATCATCTTTTACTACCTTACAACAGAGATATTAACTTAATAGAGATAAAATTTGAATCTGACTTGAATTCAGGTTGATCGCTCACACAAGCAAAAAGTTTATCCAAAAATCTAAAGTAAGTTTGTTCTATAAAGAGATTTTACCACTGTGAGTTCCATTAATCTTCTAGCTTTATGTTATACTATACAGCACATTATGCCTGAATTGCTGCAGTATTCATCTAAAAAAATAACATAGATGTATTCCTAAGATCCCCAAATTATGAAAATAATATCTACAATATAATTCCAATTCCAATATAGGTATGAAAATGTTTGTGTGTAAATGTATGAGTAGTATGTGTGTGTGTGTTGTGGTGTGGGGGGGGGGTTATGTGTGTGTGTATGCATGTGCGTGCCTGTGTGTTTTGCAAGCTTGTGTGTGTGTCACTGTTTACATGTGTGTATCAGTGTGTGTTTATGCATGTGCGTGTTTACAATTGTGTGCATTTAAGTTTATGGGGGGATGTGTATGTGTGTGTATGCATGCGTGCCAGTGCCTGTGCATTTGCAAGCATGTCTGTGTGTCACTGTGTTTACATGTGTGTATCAGTGTGTGTTTATGCATGTGCGTGTTTATAATTGTGTGCATTTTAGTGTTTACATTGTGTGTGTGTGTTAAGGTGTGTGTGTGTGTGTGTTAAGTGTGTGTTGTGTGTGTGTGTGTGTGTTGGTGTGTGTGTGTGTTTAGGTGTGTGTGTTTGTGTGTGTGTTTAGGCGTGTGTGTGTGTTTAGGCGTGTGTGTGTTTGTGTGTGTTTAGTGTTGTGTTTTAGTGTGTGTGTTTAGGTGTTGTGTGTGTGTGTGTGTGTGTGTGTGTGTGTGTGTGTGTGTGTGTGTGTGTGTGTGTGTGTGTGTGTGTGTGTGTGTGTGTGTGTTGTGTGTGTGTTTAGGTGTGTGTGTTTAGGTGTTGTGTTTGTGTGTGTTTTAGGTGTGTGTGTTTGTGTTGTGTTGTGTGTGTGTGTGTGTGTGTGTGTGTGTGTGTGTGTGTGTGTGTGTGTGTGTGTGTGTGTGTGTGTGTGTTGTGTGTGTGTGTGTGTGTGTGTGTGTGTGTTGTGTGTGTTTAG